AACGCATGTCCTAGTACTCCCAGGTGGTTTTCCAATGGTTCTTTAACTGAAGTCAGCTCATGATGAAATCTTCCACCGAATCAAACAAACAAAAATTCCTACAATATCAATACTTGAAAATCAATCAGAATATTGATTTTCCATGGACCCAGACGGATCGTCTACCAATCAGAACAATCTATTTCCACTGCCCTGGTAATTATGGTTAAAAATATATAAATATGATGTACATTTTCCTAATAAAATTGTATCTTACCAGTCACAGAGCAGTCTTTGTCTTCCGATATTTACATGGCTCAGTGAGGCGGAATGTATTACGGACGAATAGGTATATCTATTGTTGTTGTTGAGTTGTTCATTGCGTCATATTAACTGTCAACACCATCATCAGTTGGCGACAAGTCCATAATAAATTGGCGACGAGTTCATTTCGTCTGGATATGCAGATAACAATAATCCCCTTCTTTGATATAAGAATAGAACTTGTGCACTGTGGTAGAGTATAAGTCCATTGAGGGTAAAATTTATTTTGATAAAATCTCACAGTGTTATACAGTAATATTTATTGATGACCATGTTTCGAGCACAGTTTATTACTGCTCATAATCATATCAAGGCAATACTCACACAACTTTCTAACTTTGTTTATATAATTCCATTATATTTTATCGCTTGACTTGATTGGTGGTAGTATTTTCCATATTTCCGGTATGAGTGATGAGTCATTCTTATTGCACGTGTTGGGTGTAGACTCGATCTATGAACAAGGATTCAGTAATCAACCACCTCTCTCTACCTGCCTAGATTAATTTTTAGAGTACTAACTCTCACCCTATTGTGTGGTTCTGTGTTAATGCATGCAGTGCAATCACTGAGCTGTTTTCTAAATTACTTATCTTTTCGCAGTCAACCATTCTTCCCTTAGCTAAATTCTTATGTTCTGACAATCTGACTACTCCCGACCTACTAGTCTGATCTATGTAGTTGACCTAACTCACAGTCATTGCAAGGTATTTTGTAAATTATATTATTTTGTTTAATTGGGTCAACTGGGTCCTTTAATCTTCAACACTTAGCTTTAATATAATGTCCCTTTGGGAATCGTTCAAACTCTAGACTGACTAATTCATATGAGACGAAAAATAGACCAAATGACATTCAACTAGAGAATAATGAAACAACGGTTAGTTTTGATATAACTAGTCTTTATACTAATATACAAATCAGTATGGCCTTAGAAGCATGTAAAAAAGAACTAAGTGCAGATCCTGAACTCACTCATAGGACTGAAGAAATTATTTTAGGAATTCAGTTATGCCTCACCTCCACTATCTTTAAATTCCATGGCAAAATATATAGACAAACAGAAGGTGTAGCAACGGGATCACCAGTAACCCCTTATCGTAGCAGATATCTTTATGGACAGCTGCGAAAATTTTGCTCTTAATACATTTAATCCTACTTCAAAAATATGATGGAGATATGTGGATGACACTTTCAAATTCTAAAAAGTAATACTTGTAGTTGGAGAGAGTGAGAGAGGTTGATTACTGCATCCTTACTCATCGAATAATCTACACCCAACACGTGCAATAGGGATGAGTCATCACTCATACCGGAAATATGGAAAATACTACTACCAATCAAAATCCATCAAAACAAAGTTAGAAAGTTGTGTGAGTATTGCCTTGATATGATTATGCGCAATAAATTGTTCTCGAAACATGGTCATCAGTAAATATTAATCGTGAAATACTTTGTGTTAGTGATAACAGTCGGTATTTGATCTACAAAGTTGGATGGATAGTGAAACAGGTTAAGATCAACACTTGTATGCATAACTCACTGAGTTTTAGTACCAGAATGCTGAAATAGAATCTATATTTTTTCCGACGATAAACATATTTTTTTTGCTATTCTGTTAATATACTTCCTACCTAGTCAGTTGATTTGTCAGCCTACTGTTCTAATCACTGTTATCAACAATAATAACGACATGACAGAGGTATCACAGAACGCACAACGCGAGGAGACAGACTGTTGGTGTATACTCATATAGTCGTAAACAATACCCATCTGAATAGGAGAGGCAAAAGGACAAGAAACTCATTAAAGATATTTCCTTGGTGGTTTCGTCCTCAAACAGAACTAGATTCATGGTAAATGCAGATATCGGATTGGTGTAGATATGTGGATGACACTTTCGCAGTGTTACAAGCAAAACATATCTCTAGCTTCTTGACACACATAAACTCACTAGTAGAGGGAATAAAATTCCCATTTGAGTCGGAAAATGAATAAGGAGAATTAGTTATGTTAGATAGTAAAATAAAACGAATAGAATAAAGTAAACTGCACGCTAGCGTTTATAAAAAATCAACGCACATAATAGATATTTAGACTTTAATTCGTCCCACCCGTTATTTGTCTGTGAAGGCAGGCTTAGTTAAGTGTTTAACAAACCAAGCCATAGTACTAAGTAGTACAAGAAAAGACCTAAATGATGAAATGAAGCAGATAGAAGAGGTGTTGATGTTAAATAACTATCCCATAAAATTCATTAGGAAGATCAGTAAAGGCTAAAAACAGAATTAAAATAATTGTGAAACTAGTAATGATGACATAAATAAGAGAGAATATAAGTCATCCACTGTTATACCATATAAAGAGGGGACATTTGAGACCCTTCTCACGTTGGATTCTTAATAAAGCAGGAATTAAGGTGGCATTCAAACCTACAAACTCACTCAGGGACAAGCTCTTTAGGTTAAAGGAACCAGCTGACCCAATTAGACAAAATAATATAATTTACAAGATACCTTGCAATGACTGTGGTCAACTACATAGGTTCAACTAGTAGGTCGAAGTAGTCAGATTATCAGAACATAAGAATTTAGCTAAGGGAAAAACTGATTGACCCCGAAAAGATAAGTAATTTAGAAAAAAGCTCAGCAATTGCACTTCACGCATTAACGCACAACCACACAATAGGATGGGATAGGGTTAAAATTCTAAAAAGTAATCTAGTAGACGGAGAGAGAGGTCGATTACTGAATCTTTGTTCATCGAATCTACACCCAACACATGCAACAGAAATGACTCAATGCAAATACCAAAAATATGGAAGACATTATTACCACCAGTCAAATCAGAGGAGGATAATAAATAATCTCAAAATTCTATTTCAATTCAAACACATCACAAAATTTTAACAAGTAGCTCATTATGACTATAAAAACACTCGTCTTATTTCCCATCTGATTGTAATTGATCAATAACACTCGTACTATTATTTCTGAATGTACATTATCTCATATTGAATTTTATTCCAATATCTAATCGATTCCACACATGTATATAAATGAAGGAAAAAAAGTTGTGTGAGTGAGTAACTTGATATGATTTTGAGCAATAGTTTGTGCTCGAAACGTCATTAGTTAATAAAAATGCATAACACGGTGTGATTTATCAAAATAAAATCTTATCCATAATGGAGTTATCCTCTGCCACAGTGCCCAAGTTTTATACTTATATCAAGTCAGGAAGGCACTGATTTTGCTTGCCATTTATTTACAAGGTATTCAATTATAACTTTTCTCAATGAACTTAGTACCACATCATTGCAGCCATGCTGGGCAGTGTTCTCTAACATGTCCTTTTAAAACGTATGGAATCGTGGAGAACTCGTCTTTGCTTAGGTCCTTGTTCACTTCTCTCAAACTGAAATTAATTCTATTTAATCCAATTTGAAGTTTCTCGTTGGCAGGTTGACATGTCGGTTCCTTGTGCGGATGCTCCAATGATGTCTGATTATTTAATTTGAAGTAAATTACTGGTGGATGCTGACTAGCAGTGGAATCCGGGACAATGTGCATTTCGTCCTATTTGGGACTCGTCAGCCACTGGATGTACCTGCATTCCTCAGTGAGTGGTTGACAGTGTTCCAGCTGAGGCTGGGACCCAGTACCCATCGTTTCAAACACCAAAGCGGATACATCCAGCTGATAAGTCAGTCCCAAATAGGACTAGATTGCACTGCTAACCACCATCCACTAATTCATCTTACGTGGAAAAATTTTTAGTATTTAATTGGTGGATGGTGACTAGCAGTGGAATCCAGGATACGCATTTCGTCCCATTTGAGACTCGTCATCTGGATGCCGATATGTCAACCTGAGACTGAGAACTTCGGTCCAGTCAGTTGACGGGAAAATCTAAAATTCAATTAAAAAAAAGGAATTTTAGTTTAATAATTATGACTAATGTATTGTTTTTTTTTAAATTTTCTTTTTTATCTGAAGCACCTTCGATTGTGATTATTACAATACTATCTTCATTAATGTCAATCTGGTGGTTTGTTTGGTGGATTATCGTGTTATACACGATCTGTTGGATTGTTTTTTATCAAATTTATACAACTAATGAAGAGTTAAGTGATTCACAAATAGAAGCACAAATGTTTCTAGATAACTGTTATGCAATTCAGAATATCGATCATCAGCAACATCACCACCAAAAAGTGGTATCCATTAATCAAGTTCAACAATTATCTCATGATCCATCGGTAATAAAATGAAAAAATTCTGTTTTATTATTTTTCAATTGATCAAAAATGTCCATTCGAAATTTCAAAAGACTGATTACTACTGAGCAGAGAATATGCTTTTCGATAACCTTCTCTTCATCAAGTTCTACGGTCATATGCATCCACAATAATGAAAGAATTAAGGCTATTAACAACGCTAATGTGGTTTAAAAAATATCGAATCAATCAATAATATGAATCGATTAGGGTTCGAAAGGATCTCCACTAACACCACAGTACAAACTGAATATCAGATAAATTAGGAATTCATGAACTGATAGTTTCAACTGAAGGCGTGCGGGGCAGTAGTAGTGGCTAGCTGGGCCCGTTTCTTCTTCACACAGATCACACTGGTTATTTTAGGTGAATCGCAATAGCCTCTGCTATTTGGAGTATTCGCTACCTGGATACTTTTAGCACCCGATAGATGATAATAGAGAAGGATTCTTCAATGCCAGCTGGCCTAATGACCGGTCGCTATGGACCATGTGGTCTAGTATCAAGCTGTTAATGGTATTCAATATAACTTTGTTTAGCCACCCTGGTAGGTGTTGTCGATTGAGCAAGAATAATCAAATTCGTAAAGCAACGGCAAATGTGACCTGCTATTATTAGCACAATTTTATCTGGCATACTGTTAGTTTTCGCAAGATATGTGTAAATCAGAAAATAATTCTTGGGTATTAATCAAAAATGAGGAGTGTTCAAACCAACCTATGAGTTTAGTTAAATAAACAAGTTCACATCTTATTATTTAGTCTTATATGGTTTACATTTGTTAAATCTGTTAATTTGCTTTTTCCGAAGATTCTTTGCACTTCAATAGTATTATTACATCTAACTGTTTTTAATTATATTAATTCTACCACAATAATACAAGTTTATATTGCTAATATATACCTTGACGAATAAAAATTATTAAGTTTAGTTCTGATTGGAGTCTCAAAAACAATCAATTACTGAACTTGAAAGAAGACGAATAAACACATTCATCTCCGATTTTACTACTAGCCTCCTTCACTCGCTGACTAACTAACTAACTAACTAACTAACTAACTAACTAACTAACTAACTAACTAACTAACTAACTAACTAACTAACTAACTAACTGACTAACTAACTAACTAACTAACTAACTAACTAACTAACTAACTAACTAACTAACTAACTAACTAACTAACTAACTAACTAACTAACTAACTAACTAACTAAACTAACTAACTAACTAACTAACTAAACTAAAACTGACTGACTAACTAACTAACTAACTAACTAACTAACTAACTAACTAACTAACTAACTAACTAACTGACTAACTAACTAACTAACTAACTAACTAACTAACTAACTAACTAACTAACTAACTAACTAATTGACTGACTAACTGACCAACCTCTTCTTTATTTTTTATTAACATTCTTCTCATTTATCGATATATTATATGACTGATCAAGATGATCCTATAGTGTTTCCTCTTAAAACACCCATTAATGACTTCCTTAGGTTACTACCTACTTTTTGAGAGCAACTGACTGAAGTTATTAGGTATTTTCAAAGCGTTAACCACCTCGTCTCGTAACACTGCATACACGATCGACCGCATCAAAATCACCACACTTAGAGTATAGCTATTGTGTAATTAATACGTCACTGGTCCAGTGGTAGAATGTTCGTCAACCTCGCCTCATGCGGTTCGGATATCTACCGCCGGTCGACGCCGCATTCCTAAACCTCATTAAGCCGGTAATAAGACTGGCGAATAAAGAAGGTCGAGCAACCCCATCCCGTAAAGACAAACAACACTGCTGCTGAAACTTCAAAGCTCTAGCATGAAGCCCTATGTTCCACCAGCGGAAACGTAAAGGAACATTAAATAGTAAAAATGAAATATTGTGTAATTTCCACATGTAATTTAATCGGTAGAATTTGGATAACTGTTTTCTGTTCAAGTGTTGGTTTGCAGGGATTTGATTTGATTGGTTACAGGATTTCTTCATCAGCTGACATTGTTTAGAGAACCATTGGAAAACTACCAGAAAGTACTGGACAGCTGTTTCATCAGCCTAGTTTGGGACACTTTAGAGGCTCTTGCTGCCTTCCAAAGAAAGTCGTGACCACTGGGATCCACCAAGTTGGGAGTGGGTACGAATACTCTCCACGGATGATGATATTAGCTGGTGGCAGTTGTGCTAAAATCACGCATCGGTAGATGTTAGAATTCATAGGCCGGCAGCTATTGAAGAGTCGGGACCCAGTGGCTGTATGGTCAATGAGCTCACCTTGTAGCTGGAAGGTTGTGGGTTAGAACCCTAGCCAGTGGGGTGGGGGCGTGCTGGCGATGAGTCTCAAACTAGGTTGACGAAACGGCCAGCTGTCGAGTGCTGGTTTTCACTGATGCTTCTCTAACTGATATCAATCCATTATCAATCTTGAAACTCAAATCAAATCCCTACAAACACTAACTCTTGAAGAAAAAATTAATTGTTTATTAGTAAAATAAGCAGAGGGGAATTGTTCTCTTTCATTTTTATTGTTAAAATTTTTCTATTATTTAGTATGATTTTGTCGAATTGTTCATTTTAAATCGAGATGAGATTGACAATGAATTATTTACACAGATTAAAGGATTTATTCAAATGTATCAAAGTTATTATCTAATGGTTAATCATTGGAAATCATTATGGTTAGCTAATGTAAGTAGAATTTATCATTGCAATAATTATTCTTATTTGTATTCTTAATTGTCTATTTTATCTACATTCTATGCGCGTCCTTAACACACAAAGGTAGAATGCTCGCCAACCACGCCTCATGTGGTCCGGGGTTCGATTCCCGGCCACTAGACGCACTCCTTTACCTCACTCACTAAGCCAGTAATAAGACTGGTAAAGAGGGAAGGTTGGACATGGGGTTAGCAACCCCATCCCCCGTAAAAACAAACACCACTGTTACTGAAACTTCAAGCCTCTAGCTTGAAGGGGCCCTATGTTCCACTGGGAAAGTAAAGGAACAAGAAGATGTAAATTTTATATGCATTGTAAGATCAACACAAATAGTATTGGCATTCAGGCTGCTGTTTCTTTAAAGTGTTCTGAACGATTGTTAAGGCTGAAGTAATTTGGTGGATGGTGACTAGCAGTGGAATCTAGGACAATGTATATTTCGTCCTATTTGGGACTGACTCGTCATCCGGATGTATCTATATTCCCTAGTCAGTGAGTGAATGATGGTGATTCCACATGGTGGCTGCAGCCCAATTTCGAATGCTAAAGTGCTATCCATTAGACTATTCGGACCACGAGAACCACCTCCTTCTTGTGCAGTGGATCGGTTTGGACCGAAATGTTTGGCCTCTGCTGACATGTCGGCTCCTGGTACACCCAGATGACGAGTCTCAAGTATGACGAAATGCCCGGTATCCTGGATTCCACAAGTGCCATTCATCATCCACCAAATGATTTATTTGTTGCTTTTTAAAAATTTCATATTTTCTACTATCACGGGCGATATCTCACAGCAGTATGGTAGAAGAAGGCGAAAGTTTGTGCATTACACACATGCACACACACACACATACCAAACTTTTTCTTGGTAGGCAGGTATGAATTACCTCGTCACCAAAGGTAACACATATTCATAAATACAGGCTTCATCATTTAACCAAAACACCTTTTATAATTTTGATTGGACATTAGTCAGTAACTAGTGTAATGTGTCTAATCCTATCTTCGGTGCAGATTGAATACTTTCATGGTTGCCACATTTCAAGCTTGACTGATAGAACTCAGTCTGCACCGAAGATAAGACTAGACACATTACGCACTAGTTACTGACTAGTGTGCAATCGAAAATATCCAATACAGTCCTACAGGAGGTCAATCGCAAGCCTGAATAGCTCAGTGGTAACGTCTCTGACTGTAGCCGCCTCTGGGTGACGTGGGTTCGAATCTCAGAAAGGAGATGAGTTCCTTCAGAGTGTTTGCAAATACGCCTTGCTGACGAGTGAGTGCCAACTGGCACGAAACCTAGATCTAGTCAAGACTTCCTAATACACCTTAACTGGTGGATGGTGACTAGCAGTGGAATCCAGGATGCGCATTTCGTCCTATTTGGGACTCGTCATCTGGATGTAGCTGTATTTCCCAGTGAGTGATGATGTTCCCAGCTAGGCTCAAAACCATTGCCCATAGTTTCAAATACCAAAGCTTTATCCACTAGACCACCTGGGTCACGAGAGCCACTGTCTCTTGTGCAACAGGTCATATTAATTATTTAATTGAATTTTAGATTTTCCCGTCGATTGATTGGACCGAAGTGCTCGGTCTCAGGTTGACATGTCGGCTTCTTTTGCAGAGACTTCGACAATGTCTGGGCATGTAATTTAAATTTAATTGGTGTATGGTGACTAGCAGTGGAATCCAGGATGCACATTTCGTCTAATACACCCTTTATAAAGATTTCAATTTTGTGATAGAATTTATTCACAATAATTACTTTGATTCACATTAGTTGAAACACATTCTTTTCGATGATTTTGGTTGAACTCAGTCAACTGAAGAGTTTATACATCTGTCACCTCATTAAAACTATTTTTAAGGTGAGGAATAGTAGGAAGTATACAGAGAAGTTGTGTCACGGGAGAAGACAAGAAACTCGGTAACGCAATGTACTTTTACAATCTGATATACACATACGGAAGTTATGTGCATCTTATATGAAATCCATCATTTGCATAGATCTTCCGTATTGTCCTACTTCTGCCCTTCCTTCGTATTGTGTTTCTTTTTCTTCCATATTCGTGTCTCCCATGTTTTGCCGCTGCTGTATTGGTTCATTTCTTCTCTCTCGGTTATTTGATATTATTGTCTGGCGATGAACGTCTCTTTACATATTACTGACAAATCTTATCAGTAGCATACGCCACATATATATCATACATTGTTTTGATAACAGAAGAAGTATTTCTAGTGTTGTGTTAT